TACCCCAACCCGATGGCGAAACAGATACATCCTATTTTGAAGCCAGGAATAATGCTCAGCACCTGACCGTGTCTGGATTTAGTCTATAGCACATAAATTTTCCCTTTAACCTTGTCTTACAGACTATGCTAGCATAATTATATACTCCAAGGGGAAAAAAGCATTATTTTATCTGGATCGGTGAGCTTTCAATGTATGTCCAGCTTCCACAGAGGTAAAAGGCTAACAAGAATATAATCAGGAACTTCTCTTAATCTCAGAGCTGTTAAATCTTAAAAGCTTTTTTTCATCTTATTTATTTTATTACTGCACTTTAAGAAAATTCATGCATTAATAAAACTTGAAATGGCACTACCACTTTAGAGAAAGAATGAGCCTTGAGCTTGGTTTTCTTATCTGTTGATTTCAGTCCACCATTCAGTTTAGTGTTGAAATAACGAAAACATGCCGTTTTATTTTAATGTAATTTATTTGTACATTATTGCCTGCAAAATCAGTCTCAAAGGCAATCATTTAAGGCTGCATTTGTGACCTCAACATGCAGCTGGAACATTCCTTGACTCAGTAATGTAACTCTTTTGGGGAATGAGGAATAAACAAAAGGACTAAGGTTTTAGCTACTTTCCTATGAATAGTTTTGCTGCCTTGACTGCTCCTGGTAGTTTCTCTACAACACGTATTTGTTTAAAATAGTACCAGAAAGCTTAGGTGTGATTACTGTAGCAATTTTAACAGCTTATTCAGTTTTAATAAAAAATCTGATGGCTTATGTCGTAAAATAATTTGTTTAAAAAATATACGGCATTACCAGAGACAGCCTCTTAAAAAATTTACTTTTGCTTAATAAATATAATTGTANTTCAATGAATGATGTAAGAATGAACTCATAATTTTAATACAATGTGCCTAACTACTGTTTTCTTACATGCAGGATTTCTGACTTTGGGTGAGTGAAAGCTTCTTTGTAACATAATATGGCAAACTCAACAGTCAAAGTATAACTAGATCACATTGCATAAAAACATTTTTTCCCTTTCAGCTCATTTATGAAATACAAAAATGAACTATCTTCCATCTTTTGAGCAGGAAGACATCTAGAGAGGTTGATCTTCTCTGTGAAAACAAATGTAGGCATGCGGCATTTTTTATAACTTTTAAAGGTAGCAGAGAGTGAAGATACACAGCCTTTTTATTGCAACAAAGGAAAAAGGCTTGATAAAAAATATTAAAATTAGCAGCAACAAAAGGTCTTAAATTTTTTAAACCATTTTATTACATTAGTATTAGAAAATAGAAAGGTATAAACAGTATCAATATACAAATTACAGAAGTGGGTTTTGAATTATAAAGCCAATAGTACAAAATAAGTTTGTTCTATTTCTCTGGCTAATGATATAATTGGTATGATTTATCACAATATGTGATCTTATTAGACTTTGACTCAGGTGTATGGGTATGTATGACATATCCATAGAGGAATCTTATGTTTTTGATGTGGGTATGTTTTGGCTGAGCTGGGGAAAGGGCCCTAATTTCTAACCTAAGTAAAATTAATAAAATGGTTTTTTTCCTTATTTCCCCCTACTTTTCTATTGTTTAGTTATTATCTATTCCATTGGAATAATTCTTTCTCAGTGCTGCTTAAAACATCTACTAACTGAGGTGGTTTGTATGTTTTTATAGTGATTACAACAGAAATAGAAGCCTAGAGACTATTTGCATTTTGCGTTCTTAGGGAAAATGGGATTATGTGGCTTGCAGATGAAAAGGCACTATATGCATGCAATTATTTCTTCTAACGGCAGATTCCACAATGCTTTCCTACTTGTTTTAAAATGGAATGGTGGCAGTTGTTTAATCA